CTTCGATAGGGGTAAGGAGCAGCAGCATCGCTTTTAGATATCGCGTGGACTTTAAAGATCCCCCGAGGTATCTTCAGAGGACCCACAGAGACTTGGATTTGAGCGGATGTAATGGCTAGCAGATATAGGCGGTGATATCATTTTGCGCTCATTTTTCTCGCTTCGCGGACCTGTTTTACTCTCAGAGTTTTTCTATCGACGATTAGCCAGAGCGCGCGCGCATTCGCGAGATTATGACTCATGACTTTGCGTTTTAGCAATGGCCGAATTAGCAGGTTGCGCGGGCTTATTGCCACGATATCGACGCTTCATTGTTAATAGCGAGTCGAGCTTTAAAATCCCACCTGTCAGCGATAAAAATACATTCTCCTCCCTGTCCAGCGAGTTTGATAAGGGAAACAAAAACAAAAACAAAAAGAAAGAAAGAAAGAAAGAAAGAAAGAAAGAAAGAAACAAACAAACGAACGAAACAATAATAATGCACTCCCAGATAATGCGTTACTATACTTTTAATTCTACCATTTTCTTCGAGGGCGCGATGCATAAAAAGTGGCTTGTTTAATGCAATTACTGCAATTACTTCAGAGTGTAATCAAGTCCCTTGACTCGCGGCTCTCTTCAACATCTGTAATTGAGAAACCTCACCCGCATGCGAAACATGAATGCATTTAGTTTGCAAAATGCATGACAGACAATGAAATTCCTACATTTTTATATGAAACATTATTGATTTAGAGAGAAACGAGTCGAGGATTGTATATTCAATATCTTTAAATAATTCCAGTCCGATGGTGCTCGAAATTCATTCGTCGCTGCTCGTACTGAGAGCGTTTGTGGAAAAAAACAGGTTATCTTATTTATTTATTTTTTCTTTTCTTTACGCCCTAAATGCGCATAATCGTGCTGTTTCGCCATCAACGATTGCACGAGAATATTATAACGAACGTATATAAACGGGCTAATCCAGTGTATCGTTAACTTCATTTAAGTCGATAAAATTATTTTTTTATTCACTCTCTAAATAACTCATTTGCTCCAAATAAGCGCAATTTGTGTATAAAATTTTCATCTAATTTTCATCGAATCTCCAGCACGTTTGTATGGTTTTCCCATCAGCTTGCATACACTTATGGCAATATTTGTACATTAAGTTAACATTGAAAAATATTTCAAGATCACCTCGAAATATCTAGGAAAATTGCAATAGACTATATCATTCGCTTCCATACTTATAATTTCAGCATATTATTAAAATTCTGTTGGGTCACGCGGCAATTTTAATCGACATTTTGGTATTACAAAACAAATAATCACCCGTTGGCAAAAATGCCACCGCTACTTTTCTATATATATATATATATATATATATATATATATAT